TCTTTTTCAGTTAGCGGATGCCCCCGTATGACACGAGGATTGCCAGAAAGAAATGAAGAAAATGAAAGGGATACGTGTGCCCAATTGATAAATGTTATGCCTTTACCAATATATATATATATATATATATATATGTATATGTATGTATGAACAAGATCTATATATATAAGTATGAACAAGATCTTAGCTCACCTTTTGCACGATATTCGCTCGATTAATCGTTTGTTTCCGGCTCGTATTGCAAAAGAAAGCACGTCTCCCGTCTTCATAACCCAATTGATAGTCAGATAACATTTATCTCACAGATTTGAACGCAACGCCCTTTTTCTAAGAGTACTTTATAGAATATTTTCGGTGGCAATCGAGAGTTGACGCGTTCCAAGCCCATCCCAAATATCGTTTAAAATGCCAGCAGCATCAGCAAGATCATCTAATTGTCGCAAAACTTTGATTTACTTGACGTCGCCATCATCGATAGAAAATCGAAAAAAATACTTGTTTGCATCGCGTAAAACCAAGTGCAACTGAAACACTAATGACGTTTAGCATTAATGTTAACAAAAATGTCTATCGCAGGATTACAAAAACATATTTCTGATATTCGGTATACCTGCGGAACTTGACGTGAATATTGATTGTTACTGTGTTGAGATCTTAGAAATAAGATCGGAGCGGAATATAGTTCTTCGCCTTCGTGTTAGCTTCAGGGGAGTAATTTTTGTTTTTTTTTTTTTTTTATTCAGCTTTAGCACTATTCAGTTGGAAAAAGACGCAATGTGTGGCGAAAAAGTATTAATGTATTCTCTGCTACAATGGTATAATGTACGGTGTATTAACGATTCGACTTATGACAAATGCAATTTTCCCGATAGCTTCGAACTTATATGAAAGGAGAAAAAGAAAACTTGTTAGCTTAACGAATTATAAGTAAATTGTTAATTGTTAAGGAGTTTCTTTTTCCTTTATTTTTTTTTATTTTTTTTTATTTTTCTTATTTATTTTTTTTTTCCTTGGCAACTTTTATTTATGTAAATTGATTTTTTGCAAATTCTCTGTTTATCGCAAGAAAAATATCAATTAATTTCAAATACTCGAACAAAACCGTATAGCAATTACAACACACACACACAAAAAAAACAAAAAAAAAAAAAGAGAAAAATGTTGTTAACGAAAACAATAACGAAAACAATCCATAAAAAATTTATTTGTAAAGTAACTCGTTAGTAAAAAGAAGTGAAGTATGTAGTGAAGTGAAGTGGATGGAGTAGGATTATACACAGAGTTAGTTAAATTTTTCACAGTTTTCACATATATGTACATACATATGTCATTGAGATTGTTGGCTTGATAGGGTGTACTTTTTTTTTCTTTTTCTTTTTTTTTTTTGTTCCATGTGCGGTGGCTGCCGGTTGTTGTATATTTCTGTGCATATGTGTAATGTTACAAATATTTTGACGCTTTACAATCTAAATTTAAATGAATTTCAAAACAAATTTTTTTGATAACGAGATTTTTGCATTTTTTTTATATTTTTTTTTTTTATTATTATTATTATTATTTGAATATACTTACCATACACGCATTGGTGTAAAGAATTACATAAATATTTAGGTGTTTTTTGACATACACGTTTGGTTCTGCTGTGTAACCGATTAGACATGTTTAAAACAAAATGACAACCGTTAAGATAGTGACCCGTACAAAGAACACGACCGTAATGAGGTGACCATAAGCTCTAGTTTCTGATGCTAATTCATACTACTAATGAAGTAAAAAAAAAAGAAGCAAAATAATAGTAAAAATATGAGATTCGCATATCGAAACGGCTATAAAACTGGGCTGCGTATGTTGTTATTGCGAGTAAATAAACGAAAAGCCAGATAAATACATTTATCATATAATTGTCGGTAAAGTCTCGTAACCGATCAGTTAGTTCATTTGCAAATATATTCGTTTATGTTACTTAGAAGGGCAAGATATCTCATAAAGTTGTATACATATATATATATATATATATATATATAATCAAATCAAGATTCAGAATGGAATGAGGAAATTACGAGTAAGCAAAAAAACTCGATTAAAAACTCAATGGTCGTAGGTTCATATCTCAAGTACAGTAGAGTTTTCAATAAAGCCGAAAGCCTTAGGTGCGAGCGCTTTAAGACTTTAGTCTTAGAACTTATTTTTCTATTCACTAGTAACCTTTGAATCGTGGCAGCTATTAATATAGAATTTCATTAAAACAGTTCGCTTAATCGATCCATGGAAAAAAATAGGAATGATTTCAAAATCCGCTCAGATCTCGAACATGTTTTTGTTTTATGTTACTTTAATGACATATTTAAATCATGTCGCAGATATCTGCCCCGAAAATTTTCAATACTGACTGCACTTTGAGACTGCCTGGTCGTCTTAATTCAACGCTTGGCATGCTTACAGTGTAGCCATGACGGCCGTTTTTTATTCATTTTTTTTTTTTTTTTTTTCATTTTGTTAACATTCGAAATGATTATGTTTAAACAAATACATTCTGTTAAATAATTATTACATTTTTTTATATCAGCCAGACCACCTGTGAAACTTAAGCGAATCAGGTGATAAGCTCAACTTGTTTCAAGAACTTTAGCTAGCTGCATAAAATAATAAAGAATGCAGTGACGCTTATGAAACTCAGGCGTAGTTGACCGGACCCTTCCGGATATCTATGTCAAATTTTTCAATATGAGTTAAGTTTTTGTTTACATTTATCGATCAGATGTTTTTACTCGACTCGTAATCATGTCACCATAGCGATTAAGCTATGGCTCTAGATAAAATATGACAGTATGTGAGACGATATGAGTCGAAGTTCATGGGAAAAAGTTTTGGAGAATCATTGCATTGATTGATCGGAAGATTAATGATTGTGATGTAAAAACCAGAAGTTTGGGGCCAAAAAATAAGAATTATAATCATAATGGAACATATCGTGATAATCGAATTAAAACTAACTATTATTACTACGCGTTCACAATATTGATAATCTGAGGCAATCAGATAAGCAATTGAAACAAGCTCGAGAAAAAGTAATCATTTTTTCTTATTATTTATAATAAATAATTCCTTTGAAACCGTGTAATCCAAGATGTTGCACAAGTTCCGTTTGAAATATGTTTCGATTGCATGTACACACACACACACTAAAATATATCATAGCAATGACTTAACTATAGCCATCTTCCATTACCACGGTACTGGCAGCATTTTTCAGATATGACGGACGTGTCTCAATTCGCGATATCTTGTTGTAATAAGTAGAAGCAAGAATATCAGCATATAACGTAATTAAGGGAATACCGCTTGTCATATACGTACTTTATTTCATTATTATCGCTTTGCGTATAATAAAGGAATTTTTTTTTTTTTTATTTTCAAATTAAAGCACATATCATAGGTACAATCCCTGTGGACATAATGACATTTTTAAAATCTAAACAATAATGAATTGTTATTAAAGCAAAAAAGTGGTAATAAATAACCGAAAATAAACAAATATTCATTATCTACACTATGTACATAGTATGTACGATATGTTCGCGTGTAGTTCTCAAACACTTGATTTGTGGCACATGCACCCAAAACTGCAAACATGTCACATAAGTCTATAAACATAACAATTGTAAAAAAGGCAATAATTGTTTAAACCATAACACATGCATACATGAATACATACATACATACATACATATATACATATATACATATATACATACATACATATATATATATATATATATATATATACATATAAATTTATTAGACACTTTCATACGTTTGCAAATTACTCATAGATATAGGCTTTTGTTATAACTGTATAACGAACACACATACGAACAATGGACAACAATTTATGTGTATAGAAGCATTTATGCTATGTGAACAAAATTAGCAGCAGTTTATGTACGAGTATGTGACAATTTTCTATAGTTTTGCACCTTTGAGACTTGTTTCTAGTTGCTGCTGCGAAAATATAACAAAATTGTTGCATTTACTTAAATGACAGATAGTTAATTTACGCTTTAATGCTTGCCTGACCAAGGCATTAAACAAATGAGAGGAGGTTATGCTCGCTATAGCCGAATCTTTGATATCCAACATTAACATGATCTTAGAAACAAAAAGCCAAAGAGAGTAAATCCTTATGTTATGCACATATATGCACATATGCACAAATACATAGATACAAAGATCTTTATCTCTATACACATTAATAAAATGCGAAAATGCAAACATTAAACGATAGATAATCGAATAGAAAATTAAATCGCTAAAATCGCCTGAATATTTCATCTTGATCAAGAATGTATATACATAATACTATATACCATCTATATACAAAAACAAGTACATGTTGTACATAAGGGTTTTGTAACAAACTATAATAGTTAGGCAATAGTGTTCAGTTTAATAAATCCTTGAGTTTTTACATTGTATTGGATCGAAAGGGGACATTGTTCGTTAAGATTTATTATTTGAGTCTATAAGCCTGGTATGTCAATGATTGGATTGATCTAAGGTTCAATAAAAAAATTATAAACGATTTGAGACCGATTTACCAGATGACGATATCGCGATGTAAGATGCCTACGATACCTATGATATAAGAACTCTAAGGTTCGAAATTAATAAAATATATAATAATACGACAGATATAGTGGTACAAACAGACTAATTGGGAAGGACATTTGATCTCTGAAACAAAAATCATATTACATGAGTTACATATTTCTAATTGTAGTTAATATACCGGCCTAGCAAATAATAAAATCACATAACACTACCGATTGACAACCAGCTGTACATTGGAGTGATTTATATAGCAGTTTTTACTTGTCTTAACAGGACATTTTGAAGTATTTATACGTGGGATGAAGACAAATTTTTAAACAATTTATTTATTTAGTTATTTATTGATTTATTTGTGTTTTTTTTTTTAATTTTTAAACTATTTTCGATAGGACGACTACAACCATGGTGGTGTCGTAATAATCGTAATAATGGCGGCACCAATGGACGTGCCTCGCTCTCAGCCAAACATTCGGCCGATAGTATACGAAGGCCTACTAGCAATTCGGGCGTTTGGACCTGGTTAGGTGGCAGTCGTCGTTCATCGGAAGGTCCTGATCAGATAGGACCACCATCGTCATCACCCGCTGAAAACCATTATACACATATGGATGATGCCTACAGTCCGGTAGGTGTTAGCGAAGCTTTATATGCTGAATTGGATAGAGAATCAGTAAGATCAGCTAATCCCTCATATCAGAATACCGGTTATAGCCAGTGCGGAGATGTAAGTTATGGAAGCTTTAAGAATATTTTTTGTTTGTTGTTAAAGTATTTCTTTAATTTTAGAAATATAATTATCAACCGAATGAACAAGACATTCCTATGGTAGTCTCGTCGGCTCCTAGTAGCGCTTACTATTCTGATCTATCGGTAACGGCAATGCCTAGTGGCGGCGCCAACAATGAGAGAGCCTATGAAATTGTCGGTCTAACTGTAATGTCACAACCGTTGCCTAATTGGGACACTGGCGGCAGCGGCGGCGGCGGCAGTAGCGGTAGCGGTGGCGGTGCCGGTAGTGGTAGTGGTACTAGTATGACAGCAAGTGTTATCGCAACGGCTGGTGGCACTTCAACTGCAATTGGCAGCAATAACGAGGGTATAATGTCTCAACGCCGTACGCCACGCTTGGCTGCCATCAATGAGACCAGCACCACCACTGTCCCCTCGGATTATGTATGAAATTCAGCCAAACCTGAAAATCCAACGTTACAGCGACTTCGAAGAAAACAAGAGCTTATTTGAATTTTAGTAATGTGTTATCACGAAAGCTCAAAGCTTTTTAAAAATCTCTCAAAACTTAAGTAAAATTTGAATTTTAACTTTTTTTTTTATGACGTTATCGAAAAATAAGAAAAAAAAACAAAAATGTTTAAAAAAAAACGATTTTTAAAATCGTTGGTGATATTTAGAATAACGTAGAATGTCGTACATATATATGTATATGTATATATGTTTCTGTATGTATGGATTTGTATATTTGTTAAAGAGAAATCAACAAATATATCTCCGGATCCCAATTTATATAGACATGTACGTATGCATGCATACACATTTACATATATACTTGCAGGCATACATTGTTTTATATATATGTACATGCATAGAATACATAGAATCCATCATAACTTATTTTAAAGAAAATCTAAAAACAGATTAAAACAATAATAATAATAATAATAATAATAAAAATTAAATAAAATAAAAGTAAGAGTAGTGGAAAATAACAAAAAAAAATAATAATAATAATAATAATAAATAAAATGATAGTAACAAAATAATGTGAGTGAAGTATAAAAAAATATTCATACACAGCAGGGTAAATAAAGAAAACGAATAATCGTTGTTAAATCGAGTACTTAAAAAAAAAAGTACATTAATAATTTATTGAAAAGCAGAAACAAAAACATGTTTACACTTGCCTAAGAAATATATAAAAGATTTCTTGTTTTTATTTTTTTTTTATTTTTTCTTTTTTTTAACAACACGAGGTTGATTGATTCGCAATGTATTAAAAATAAATGAAGAAAAAAAAAAAAAAACGTATAATTTGTCTGCTCTCGAAATCGATCATTTCCCTTTGCCTTCATTTCGCTGGCAATATATAAATTTTGAAATCATTTTACCCTATATTTGTCTTCGTTGAAATAAAGCAAAATCTCAAAATTGATATCAATGTCTCTGCTAACAAAAAATAATTCCATACTCGAAATGGATGTCACTTATCGTTAAGTCACTAAAGGTTCTTTTTAAAGTTTTCAATATTTCGCTGCGCTTAAATTTCTTTTCTTTCTCATACCCCATGAAAACTCCACATAACATGACGACAGACATACACAAAACAAAAATCATTTATCTCCTTTTCTATTTACTTAGCTTACGTCAAGACTTCCTCATAACTTTCCACCTTCGCATAGTAAGTCACTTCTTGTTTTTTCTTCTTCTTAGAAAATTTACACACAATCTAAAGTGACATAGCTCGAGAGATGACTCGATCGCTCGTTAACAAATGCCCACCGAGAGAGAACCTGAAATAGTAAATAGGTTTTTGTCTAACCTACCAAAGGTCATCCAAGTACTTGTTGTTATTTTTTCTTAAGGGTTACGTTACACTCAACAATGCTCATCTTTTCCGTCTGCCCGCGCCCCTACCGCTTGCATAAACCTTTTACCCGCCTCAACAATCATCAGAATTTTTGTGCATTGAACTAAGTAAAAGTTTTTCATGAATGTATATGTATATAAGCATGGGCTATATAGGGGCAACCGTGAAATGAATGGTCAGCAACTTTAAGAACTAAGAACAGTGACAATTGGGAACAATTTCCGTCCACGGCTTTTTTGTACAAACCGTATTCGTACGTATTTTGCATCCGTGCGTCCCTTTAGATTTATGCTTTAGTTGACTTATCATTATCAACCTCGTATCATTATTGTATCACTTATGGCTTACATACGTATATAGAATAGTGTTTAAGTAGTGGAAATATTATTTGATTTATTTATAAGAAAAAAAAAAAAAAAAAAAAAAAATCAATAAATAAAGTGAAAAAAAAGTGAAAAAATTTTTTATTAATAAAAATTATATTAATTATATAAATAAAAATATAAATATATAATAAATATT